GGCAGCTATTGAGCAACTGCACGGTTCCAGGTACAGTGCAACCGTGACATCTAGTGGCCACTGGAGAGGGAATAAAATACTTCCCTAAAATACAGGATTTCTTTAAACACTAGCACTTATGAACTTGCAGTTTATACTTCCTCTTTGTGCAATCACTGTCAGAGGTAATAGTAATTATTTGTTACAGGAAAAGTGAGACAAAATATCTGGCATGCAATTAATTTAAAGAGAAATCAAGTGCTTCTATCAAACCACGGTGGAATAATATTGTACAATACCTACAAAAGAGCAGAGTACGAGGCTTATGGCTGACAAAACCCATCATTAAGAAGCCTTTTGTGCACAGATTACAAAATAAGTTTTAAATTATGCTAGAAGAGTCAATGAGTTAACTCTCCACCTTCTCTTACAATGTTAATCTATTTAGTAATAAGGCAGAAGCAAATAAAAAGACTAGAAACTTCAAAGGTTTCTACCATGGAGAAGTAGAATAAATAGCCTAGTGGTCACTAATGCGCAATAGATCACTTCCCAAAAGAATCAGGAGTACTGCAGGGATGTGTCTCTCTAATTTGTGTTTGGGCGGGAGACTACTGCCTTAAGATGCAAAAATAAATTTGGACAATTGATGAGAACTGTGAAAACTCCAGACTGAAGTGTGACACTCAGCAAAAAATTATCTCATACATTTATTACTAAAAATTAAACCACATAAATAACAATTTTCTACACAGTTGGCATTTTCTTTTTCTTCACAAAATTCTCATTTTATAGAAGAGAATATCTTGGGGAAAAAAAATCCATTAAATTGGAACAACTAAACATCAGAGTAAGAATTACTTTGTCTTAAATACAAAGGTTTCAGTAGATGCCATATAGAACACATTTAGACACTGCTAATTGGAAAAAGGGTAGTCACTCAATCAAATGGAATATACATGTATACAATTCCATGATCTTTCCTTTTAAAACAAATTGCCAAATTGTACATGTCTCTATCTCAGAACCCCTACAGAAAAAGAACCAATGAAGTTCTTATTTAAATTCCTTACCTTGTACCCAAATTGCTTGTTTGGAATATCAAGTGCCTTCAAAAGCACAAAAAAAAATCAAATATGTCATTTCTGTCCTGGAACATTCTCAGAGACAGAACTCTGTATTTCTGAGTCTACCTTCACAACAACTCCAAAATCAAATCTTAGGAGGAAACAGAACATAAAGCCCAGCAAAATAAAACGAACTGGATATTAAAGCTGATTTCCTAGGGAAATTAGACTATTTTATGCTCTTTGTCCTATTATCTTCATCACTCTAAACTGCGCCAGCAACTTTTAAATTAGTTTAGTATTCTTAAATAAATTTGAGGGGCACTAGAAATGTTATGAAAGTCTAGGAAAAAAGCAGGGGGGGAAGCAGAGAGAGAGAGAGCAAAAGGAAAATGAGGCAAATTTCCTTGTTACTTCTCTGACTTGGGAACAGGTGGCTGGCAAATGCTTGTAGTTACAGTCTAATACTCTTGTCTCTCTCAGAAAGGGATTACTGATGAGGTCAGAGGGCAAAGGCCACAAACCTGTAAGAGGTTAGGCTATCTCAACCCTACTGCTCATAAACACTGACCTGTTTATTCTTTTATTTTTAAATAATGTAGTTCCATACTTCACTTAAATGTTCCTTCTTTTTAAATTATTCGGACTAAATCATCATGTAATAAAAGCTGATTGAAAGGCTTTAAATGTAATATAGAACTTTTACATGGTATCTGACCTTTCTATATAGCTATTGCAGGTAACTAAGGATTAAGTACAAACAATGCAGCTGAATTCTGAAAGTACTATGACAAATCTGCAGCTGAAATAAATTATCATAGCCTCACTGATATTAGCATATCAAATGAGACCAGCTGAAAATCTTCTTCATACACGCTCTATACAACAGTTAAGTATATTACAATGTTAATGGACCTAAACCCAAAACAAATTAAATATTTCATTTGTATCATAATTTATTTAAATAAACTATAGTGACAATTCTTTGTCACTATCATCCTAGACAAGCTCTGAACTTGATCTCTTGGGATTCAAAATTTCATCATTGCTGAGCTCAGTACAGAACCAACACTCAAAAGAAGGCGACAGGACTGTTTGGTTGGTGGGTTCTTTGTTTGTGGGTTTTCTTTGGGGTTTTTGTGGTTTTTGCTTTAGGGTTTGGGGGTAAGGGGGGGGGGGACAGGGGGGTGGTTTTGTTGGGTTTTTTTCCCCTCTGATTTACAACATATGAAGATTACTTGGACATGTCTAAGCAGCATAATCCAGTAGGTTATGCCCCTTATTTTCACATACTAATTAGCTTGAGGAAAAGCTTACGATACTAGCACCCTTTTATTAGGGAGTCCAAAAGATTCTTATCTTACTTTTCATTACTACAACTAAAAGGAGAGAGGTAGACACCCAGAAAGCAGAGTCCTGGGAAGCTACGTTTGCAAAATCTAACAGTGGCATTCAAAAAGAAATAAGAGCATCCCACTGATGTGATTGATGCACTAGAATGAAGACCTTGGATAATACATTAGCTGCTTCAAAACCTTCAAAATTATGCTATTAGTTTACACTAATTTGTTACTGCATGACACAGAAAGAAAGGCACTCACACTCAATCAGTTCGAGGAACCAAGCAGGAAAAAGAAGCACTTTATATACATTTCATGTTTATTTATAGAATTCCAACAGTGACCATGGATTGGACAGTGAGGATAATAATTCCTGACCCCATAGGTCCTATCAACAGTTTATCAATTCTCTCTTCCTCCAAACAGGAATGCAAAACATTCATTGTTTGCAAGAACAGAGTGTGAGAAACTGAAAAAATTATCTGTCAACAATCAGAAGGCTGAATACAAGGGCAACACTAATTAACAGACAGGCATTGGAGTTTTATCTTTAGTGATTGCACTTTTCAATGTCCTAAAATATGATTTTATTTGAACTATGTACAAATGGAAGTAGTATATTTTTGCTGGTTTCATGAAAAATTTAAGAATTTAACTTTTCTCTACATATAATGTAGAGGGTTTAAAAAAATAAGCAGTTTTAAACATAAAAAGAAAAATAGGAGGCCTTTTAAAGGGCAGCATCTTGTCCTAGTGAATCATTAGCAAATTACTAGCAAATCAGCTCATATGTAGGTAATGGACTTTACATAAACTATGTTTATTGATTATAGAGGTATTTTGCATGCTATTATAATATTTTTTCCACAACTGTACATTTATGTCTGTTAAATGCATTAAATGCTAGGAATACTCTTGATGACAGAAACACTGACTATGATGATAACAGGCTGTAGAATTTTGATCACTATTTATGTATTTTTAGTATTTTCATAGTACAGCTATGCACAGCAATATATCTAGTAACTGGTAAAAATACTGAAAAGGATAAAATGTTTGATAACACAGCTTCTTTCTAACAGCTTTTGTTTTAATATGAAAATAAACTCTACAGATTGATCTGCATTAATCTATGCCATAATTTAGGAGTTTAAAATTTAGAAAGAATGAAATGTAGATAGTGAAAAATACTCCCAGAACACCTATACTACCTGTCATAAAAGAAAAATCTGTACTGAAAATTGCTATCTGTTATCTGCTGTACTGCTTGCTTGAGAGAATTTGCTGACCTTTGATTAGAGTAATTCTGTGGAAATAATGGAATTCAGCCTGACAAACATCTGTTGTTTGATGACAGTAATTTAACAGTTTTTCTTACTCTGTCTCACATATAGAATTAGGGAATTAGTACTACAGTGATCCAGATTCATTGAAAGTTATCTTCAATTCAGTTATTTTAGTTGTAATTTAATGAATTAGATTTTTCAAGACTTATATATCTTCTGTTCAATAAACTTGTTTGTTACATATTTCCCGGCACAAAGTATCAATCTGAGCATTTTTGGTGCAAATAAAACAGCACAGAACAACTACAGCAGTCTAGATTGCACTAAATGGGGAAAATAAATATTATTTATTATTTTCAATATGTGAAAATTACTTAAGAAAAGAGATTTAAAAAAATTAAAAGGCTTTCTTTCGAATAACATAAAAGCATTTGAAACCTATGCTTCAATACATGAGTTAAAAATTAGCTCAAACATAGGACAGCAGGTGGCACTGACAACATGCCAATCTTAAAACAGCTGTGTTGAACTGGTACAAAATGATCATATTACATCTGCATTACCTTTAATGTGAGGTTGTAAACGTAGAGAACACAAGCTCATCTTTCACAATACTCTATCAGTTGGTGTAAGTGTTCCCCTTGATATTGCTTCTTACCATACTTTACTAACATAGTTACAGAGACAGAAGATCTTCACAGGGATGTATTACGACAGGACAAGAGCCAGCAATAATTGTTGCAGAAAAATTTCCATCTGCACACATGAACAAAAACTCTTTCCCTTGACAACAATTAACACAGGGAAAATTTGCCCATAGAACTGGTAGAATCCACCTCACTTGAATTATCCAGGCTTGACAGGGCCCTGGATAATTCAATCTGTGGTGCTCCTTTAATTAGGGACTGGAACAGAAGATCCCCAGAAGTTCTTTCCAACCTAGATTGCTCTGTGACTCAGCACAGTTAGGCCACACACCCAGTATCATGCTGAGAAGCTTAGACAAGACTCCAAGCCAGCTGTAACATACACACATGGGCAGTAAAACACACTTAACAGATAATACTGCAGCTTGTAATTAACATGTTGTTAGCAGGGAAAATGATTCAGCTTTTTACAGCTTCCAGCTCCAGGGCCAGGTTATTAGATGGTGCTTCAAACTTGCCAATGTACCTGTGATGCTGAAGACACGCTTCTGTTCTTTGCACGTCACTCAGCCACAGTAGAGAGGAGTAAAGCAAAGTCATTCTTTATACAGGCCACAGAGAAACTAACCTGAAGGCCACAGTTACACAAGCAGAAACTTGATGCTACTATTTAATACTTACATTTTCTAACCCAAGAAGGACCAAGAGTGGGATTGTTGTCATTCCTCCTTGGATCCACTCTTCTAGGGAAACAGTACCATCATGATCATAGTCAATTTCTTCCATCATTTCATGAAGAATCTACAGTTTAACGAAAAAAATCTCTTAAGTTCTAATTTATTATTACTATATTCTAATACAACAACTTTAGGACATGTGTGGATCTCTAATTCTCTCATACAAAAAATAAGAAAAATATTCCTTGCATGGTAGCTGCAGTCAAATGACTATGGACAGTTCAGAAAATGAAGTGTCATGCTCCTATTTACATTTTGTTAACACCTAAAGGTCCTAAATCAACCTGTGTCCTTTGTGCACACACTCTTAAGAAATTTTCAGAGATGAACCAGTTATGTTATAGAAGTTATTATTAGATTTATCGAAACTTTCATAGATTAGATTTAAAAAGCAAAATACTGGTAGAAGTTCTAATTTACAGTGCCACAGTGGAACACAGACTGTCCTTATTTCTACCTTACTCACCTGTGGAATGCCATGTCGATACGAAATATCACAAAATTATGACAGCTGTCTCTAGCAACATTTAAAAATTGTCACAAATGGATACTTACTGGACTTAATTCAGTAATATCCCATTCAAGGTATTCTGCAACATGCATCATTTGAGCAATTATATTTTCCAGCTCCTAGAGATGAATGAAAAAGTATGACATTTAATGCAAGGTTATAAAGAAAAATTCTACTGCAAGCAACTAATAATTCAACCATATTGCATTCAGTGACATTATTTCATCAACATCCCTGATGAAGTGTACTTTACATTCAAAGCTGTATTTTCAAGCGAATCTGCTTACTAGCAAATCTTGTGTGGACTACAAAGCATTCAGGGAGGTGAAATACATACCCACAATCAAAATATTTGGAAGCAGTCATAAATTCTTTCCTTCCTTCCTAGTTATCTTTCAACCATCCATGTTTTCATGATCTGATTTCCACTATGTGATAAGATCATGAAATGATCTTTAAATTCTATCACTGTAACAGATTATTTTTTGACAGTAATTGTATAAATCACAACTTTCTGATAGAAATAAAGATAAAATGGATTCTTTAAACTACTACAGATTTATTTTCTTACCACTACAGTATTGCAATTTCCCTTGATCACACATCACTATGGTTTTTCTATACTTATATATACATTTATGCTTTGTAAACATGCTCAAACGCTTATCTAGGACTATCCTAAGTTCTCATTTGTATCCAGGCATCTAACTCAACTTGGTATTGCCTAAAATTTTGGTGCTGTCTTTACTTTATCCCCCTATATATTTTCGCATCTGTATTTCCCTGCAACTTATGGGAATCACCTCTTCTTCCCTACCAATCCATTCTATGCTGTCATGCTTCCAGCAGATACAAAAAAAAGGTGGAAAAAATCCCAAAGGAGGAAAAAAAGAACACTGCTAATAAAACACTTGTTTCTGTTAGCTATCAGAAAAAAATAGTTACATCTTTTAAAATTATTTCCATATTTCTGACTTTTCTTCAAACACTTGGTTGGGCTATTCCTCAAAACTTTGCCCTTACTATTGTTCCTCCATTGCTAATAATAAAGTGGAAGTTACATTTCTCCACATAAATCCACTGTGTGACTCTCACACTTTTTAATGAAACCTTTACAAACAGTGCTTTCATACACATCACCCAGCACATACTACAGTTATTGGAAACATATTAATGTTTCCCCTACAGTAATATCATTAAAAATCAGAAGACTATAGAATGGGACTCCATGACAGCAGTGTCAGCAACTGAAAATTTATACAGTTGTAGAAGCAACATTTCTTATTGGAAAAGAAAACTCAAGCACTACTTTTCAAATGAATGAATTTTTATCGACTATATTTTATACTGCTTCTAATAATTCAGGATAAATATAAACTTGATTTGAATTAATGTAGTTTTGTATAGTGTTGCCATACTCTTACAATGCAATACATAAAAAACATTACCGAACTATCCAGGTATCCATTCCCATCTGTATCATACAAGCGAAACATAACTGAAAAGAAAACAAAAAGAGAAGGAAACTCAGAAAACGCAACAAATACATCTCTTTTTCATTAGAAAAAATAACTCCAACCCAAAACACAGAACACCTAAGCCTAAGTGTCAAAGAAAGGACAAAGACTAACATTTCTGTTTAATGACCAGACTAGCTGTGGACCCATCAAACAAGCTGTGTCATGTGAGAGGTTCACTCTGCAACTACCCTGCCACAGTGCCTCCAATGAGACTTACTAACCACAGAGTGCAATTGCACCTCTTCCACACCATCACCCTAACAGCTAACTTTGTCTGTGAACTTGATTTTGCTTCCTTCTAGAGATGATCTGTCTTCATGGTGAGTACTACCAGAAGGCCCTTCTCTGTGATCTCACCAAACATAGGATAACACACAATTGGTCACAAACATTGATAAGCCTGCTTAAGTTACAATGCTACTCCCCGACTGCAGCTAACACTATTCAAAAGTGATACTACTTTAGAAACTCTTTATTGACCAACTAAATGAAACACAAGATTAGCATTTTAAATGTCTAATCAACCAAATCTGACAATAAACATTCATCACAAACTGCCAGCATGACTTCTTCCAGGACCATACTTACTTTATCAATTTCAGAATGTATTCCCAACATTCTCGTGAACCACACAGACAAAAAGGTATATTTTAACAATATCCAGAAAAAAATATACACTTTCAAGATTGTATCATGACTTGATCCCTGCCAAAAGCAGGGGTACATTCACCATTACCAAGGTATTTGGAAGCATCAAAGCATAAAGCTTTCATGAATACTGCTAGAAGACTAAAAAGGAAATCCAGAAGCCTACAAATACCCCACTCCTTGTCCTTACTTTCAGGCACAGTTTGTCAGAGCTCTGAAATCCAAATACCCATCATGCTCTTCAAAAGTGCTTTTTTTTTTTTGACCCCTACACCTATTTTTTTAGAGAAGAAGTCAGCCCATGTAGAGATGATTCCAGGACAATGTAATGCCTTCACCAACAGCAAAATACAAGTAATCTGTTGTCTAATCAGATGTCTCTGGAAACATAACATATAACCTATTTAACACTGAGGAATCCTACCACACTGGATCCATAGCAGATGCTGTTACAGTCCAATAAATTTCACACACAAGCTTGCCATAGTTTTCAGGACACAATATCATGAGAAGTGAGAGGAAATTCTTACCAATTAGAGAATAAAGTTCAGAAAGAATTCGATCATTTTTTGACTTACAGCAAAACATATGAACTGTTTTATGTATTGGCTTGTTTTGCTTATATCCTCCATCTTGGGAATCACTCATTTTCCCTCATCTAACTGTGTGGGAAAAAGGTAAGCACTATAGCTCTCTACCTCTATAAAAATATCCTTCTTTCCCTAGAGTTACCATAGCAAAAATGTTTCAGCATAAAACAACAGTTAATGCCAAAAGGCACCAGAGACTGGTACTGCCCCAGCTAGTACACTTTCCACCAAAGCTTCTTAGAGCTTGACAGCTAATACTGTCTGGCAAAGGTACCATCAGACATTCACAGTTTCCACAGGGATCAATTACTGATTCATGCAAAGATAAAGTTAAAATAATTTGCCTCTCCTTCCTCCTCCTCTGTGATTCTTAAGACACTAGGTGAGACAATGTTTTACAGCAAGTTTTAGCATCTCCATGACCTTTACCCACTCCGGAGCAGTAGTGCTTACAACTTTTTTTCTTTTAACATGAATCAGCTCTAATCAGTCGTTTAACACCAGACATTAGCATAATTATAACTATTTCACCTTTGTAGAAACGAAGTCTTTCCAATTACATATGTATCGGGTAGCAAAAAGGTTCAATCTGTGCTCTTGGCTAGATTCTGAAAACTATGCTACTGGTGTGGCATGCAATCTCTTTTCTATTCACACACTGCTAAATATTCATGCTCTTGATTTACACATTCTAGGAGAAAAAAAAAAGCCAAAACCAAACCAAGAACGAAATGATAAGGACAACCAAACAGAAGTTCTGATGCAAACTACAGAGCTCAAGTCAAATAGTTATGTTTCTTTTCTCATCCCCTTACCTGATTACACTAACTGGGCACTCAATTTCTATTTCTAGATGGCAATTTAACCTTAAAAAGATGACTTATGCCCTCTCAAAGCATCTCTGTGATGAATGCTTAGGATTTTCTTTATGTTCAGGTCATACATAGATTATAAATAATAGATATACTGAGCATGCCAAATAGGTGAGGTTCACTCAGCTATGACTAATTTTTTTCCAATTTCTGCCATCCAAAAAAAAAAAAAATTAGAATCACTATTTGATATTGGTATTGATAATAATGTTGGCTACTCCAGAATAAGCCATATTTCTTTTTTCCCTTCATTGCTACAAACTTATAATTTACATTACAGCTACAGGACCTACTGCTTTCAAATTTCAAAAGACTTAAATTATACCATTAATTTATAATGAGAATTCAACTGAAATGAACAGAAAAGTCTGCATACAATGGTGCAGGTATAAGCTGAAATTTAGATATTAAAAAGTAGAAATATGTGGTATATTTCAGCTCTGTGTGACAAAGAAGAAAATAAACCCATAAAACAATTATGGCCAGAATTATACGTAGTAAATGCAATTGACTTTGAATACACATATTAGGTCATGCTCTCTTGCTCTTAAATCATATAGAACAGTCTTTTGCTTATGCAGCTCCTACTGCCACACTGGAAGTTCGTGGAAAATCCCCACACTAATTATCATCTGCTCCTCTGTCTCTCCTCCTTTCCGTTGTACCAATTCCTGACACCAGGGGAGGCAGCTGATCTCCATTCCAAGCCACGGTTTGTGCATCGAGCTCCTCAGAGCTCTGGTAGGGCTTGCATAACTTGCTAACATGCAGCAGTTATTACACTGCAAGTTAAATTCAGTCCTTGGATCTCAGTTTTTCTGTGCCTGTGTTCTAAATGTGCATTCACACATACATCCTCATATTTTACTCATATGATACCAAAACAGTATTACCAAATTTGGGGGATTTGCTGTGACCTTGCAGTACAAAGTTGCAGCTACAGGTAACAAAGCATCAAGATACTTCAGCAACATGTAACCTTTTGATGAATTTCTTAGCCTGGCAGAAGCAGCCTACTGTTTGCACATCTTATCATATTCAATATTTACTTTCCACATGAGAGCCTGATCCCATAGATCTTTTATAAACAGACCAGTCATGTATCTTGAAGTATACTTCATCTCAGTAAGAACAATATGATTGGTCTGTTTAGCCACATGAAAACTGGCTTCTAAAATTCCACAATAAAGAAACAGGTTTTCTTTTTTTTTTTTTTTCTCCAGTTTATAGACCAAACTCCCAGGGTTTTTCTGGGTTTTTTTTGTTTTTGTTTTTTTTTAATTGGTAGTCGTGTTGCACCTTAATGACCCAGGCCCCTAATTAAAAACAAACAAACAAAACAACCAAACAAGCAATTTCTAACTTTCTGTGTCGAACACTCCTTCCCAATAGTGATACAGACTTGGATCATTCTTGGCTTTTCACTATTCAGTAACAGTATAGAGCCCAAGCCTATACTAGCAACTATTCTTTGATTTAATTAGGATGTTTAATGCAGGTTATTCACCCCATCTATAGATCTCTAAGTATACTCAGTATACTTTTTTTGTTTTTCTCAGATCTGATAGTAATCAAGAGAAGACACTGTAGAGAGGATTACTACAGAATGTACAATCCTTATTCATCACTTTAGCAAATGCTAGATAGACGAAATTTAATTTAAAATCTCATCAATAGCAAGAAAAGAAAATCTCTTCTGTAAGGGTCACCTAGAACCATATTTTTATAATCCATCTGCCCAAAACTGGTTCTTAAAATTCAGAAACAGAATATTTGATGACTTATGGAAATAAATATTTAAAATTTAAAAAAGAGCATACATTCTAGCTTATCTTCAGGTCTTCCTCTTTCTAGCAGTGACAAATAGCAAACAATATCCTTCAGCTGGATCATGTCTGGTAAATGTGAGTTGGCAGGAGTAGGAGGTCTGGATGTAGAGGTACCCTTGTTAAGTCTCAGACCTGGAAATAACCCATAGCCTTTGTTAGTCGGAACACACAATATAAGCAGGGAATGAAAACATAACTCTTGCATGCATTCATCTTTGTTTTCTGTGACTCTCAGATTACTTTTTAATTTAAAGTTTTAAACAATTAATGTTCATAGTTTATCCAGCAAAGGTAGAATTAAAATAAACTATCCAAAACCATCCCCCCCAATTATGGATATGGCATAACCTTTTTTTAATTTGTGCTGACCTGATTTCATTCGACTACAAAACAATTTGGTGAATATTCTTGTTCTGCCATACTAGATGCCAAGTATTAAAAACAATCCCTGCCCAAGTCTGCATCCACTTCCTTGTGCTTGTGGAAGCTTCATCTAATTTACAGACTGACAACAACTACACTAATTGAAGATGTTTTAGCGTCAACAAAAACTCTGCTAATACCCAAGTGTATTGTTATCCCAAAAACACAGCCAGATATGTGTCAGTGAAGCACATATTTAAAACACAGAAGTCTCAGTGACAGACTACTGAGAAAATATATTCAGAATTTAAATAATAGTTATAATAATTGCTCAGTCATTGTGATTAATAGCAGTTCCAGTGTACCACTTGGAATTAAAGTTTCAAAATTACCAAACTTTTTGTTTCAGTACAACATTAGTATGACCAATCCTGATGATATTACTGGAATCTGCAGGACCAATATGGGGGAAAAATAGGAAGGACAGTAGAACACAGAAAAAGGAGTAAGAAAACCTTCTTTACAAGTTTGTTACATTTCTCACTGGCTGAGGGTTGTCCCCTCTCCCCCTCAATTTAGCTTGAAAAACTTCATTGCAATCCGGATACATCTTCAAAAGACTACATTTTAAAAGGTATGCCTACATGTTATGAGATACACATGTTAAAACAATAAAACAAGTTAAAAAAGAGCAAACTGTTGTGCAAAAATGTATCTTTGAATTAATTTCATTTTCATGGTTTCAGGCAAATAATAAACACTAAAAGTAAATATTAAATGAACAAAAATATTTAATAAGTCAATGTTCTATTTAATGACCTTGCATGTCAGTTAAGTGTAATTAAAATTAAGACATTATAATATTTCCTTCAGTTCAATGCTAGCTTTAATCACACAACTTACACAAACAGTTCATATTCCAATCTTATGTAAATCATATTCAAAGAATAGGAAGGATTATAAAACTTGGGATAATTCTTCTCAAAAATAAATAGTGCTGAAATCCAAATGAAAAGAAATACAAATTTTAAGGTATCTTTTAACCCATCATCAGCTGCAAGGTACAGGTTAAATTATTACTTCTTAATCAGAGCTGGGAAGTGTTGGCTGCAATGTACTGACTTACAGATGACTTCCAGTCCTGCTGCTTACCTGGCATCTGTTTCCATCTCTCTTCAGTCACCTTAACTGAAAATACAGTTTATAAACAGACGTGAGTGGACCAAAAGAGACCACATGCTAAACAAGCACACACCTGACAGATTGATGAACCCTGCTACTTTCCTTGTCATTTTCTCTAGCTCCCACTTATCCTTCCATTTTCCAGAAGAATGTAAAATATTCCTGACAAAGTTATTTTCCAGTACAGTCGGCTTTTTTTTTTCACTACTGGTAATATTTAAAAATTACTAGATACCCAAAACCAAGTGTTCCTACAGTTTCCATGTGCACATCAAAACGTGCTAATGCACAGTTTTTCCATTTAAAAGTTGCAAATTACCAGGACATAACATTTAGTTTAAACTATTAAATTCAATTACAATATAAACCCACTACATTTTCAAGCCCAAACAATTCTTGCATGAAGTGAACTAAACTGCCTCTCTGAAAGTGTTTTGGATATAACAATTTATCAAAGAGTCTTTCTGGTATTATGCTAAAAACATATGGAAACCTCCTAAACTGATATTACATTATACTATTTCTAAAGTCCTTAGTAACAAAAAAAGATAAAAACTCATGACAAACTTGGAAAAGTTAGTGTAGGGAAAAAAAATTTTAGGAGGTAGTATTAGAGTAAGAAACATAACCTGCAGTTTAAACAATAGTAATAACAGCACCATCCTTTACCATGTTATAAAAATTTTCATTATTATAATTTTACCACATGTAGGAATAAAATATATCAAAGATAACTATAATGAAAGTGAAAAAAGCTGAGTACAGCCTGTACAGGGTAGAATTTAGCTGTGTCCTCTGAAATCAGAATCACTTTTAGTGATTACCCAACATTTAAAATATCAGTAGCTGTTAAATTTGTAGGATTAATAACAACAGAATCACATAGACAGTTAAAAGAAACATCAACAACTGGTACAGAAATGGTTAAGCAGAAGCGGGTGCCTCCTGCATCAAGCTTAAAGGTTTTTAAATNTAGGAAACAAGATCATGTAACCATAGCAATCTGTTTAGCATTAACATGACAAAGAATGTCCACTTGGTGTCTCAGCTGCATCATTATTGTGAATGAAAAAGACAAAACCATTTAATTTCCATTCCTTTTCACAGTATTTCCTATTATAAGTTAGTTTCTCTAATTTCACACATACCAGAACAAAAATCCCTCAATATTATAGTTAAGAATTCCATATATTTACAGCTATTAGAAGTAAAATAGCAGGGTGAGGGAACCTTTAGCTCTTACATTACTGATTTTATTACTTACCTCCAGAAAGGTGCTGTGGTTTGTTTTTTATTAATGGGCTGCAGTGAGAGATTTTGTTCCTAAATGATGTAAAAAGGTGTTCAATGAAATCATCTGGTAACTCTGCCTCCAGAAAGGTCTTCATAAACAGCTTGAACCCCTCTAAATCAATTGTCTGCAGTGAAGGGGAAGAAAAAAGGAATAAAAATTTTTGAATGTTTTGTAAAAAAAGAAAACTCACACTAATCCATCAAAAAATATTCTGTTGAAAAAAGCTTTGGACTGTATTTGAATATATTGATTTCTGAAGATTTAGACTGGCACACCTATTCTTGAAAGTGGTTATTGAATTAAGTATTACTTTGAAAATTCACAGTATTGCTATAATACCTCAGAGTACTGCATAAAACAGCCCAGAGTAAATTCAGAGCACTTATATCAGGACCCTGAAATCAAGTTCTATGCTCTCAAATTTCTTGATTAGCATCCAAAGGCGCCTACAGAGCTCCTAGGGATGTACTTAGGATGTCTTAGCTTCTCCTGTAATTGGGCAGACAAAAAGCAGGGGATTTTTGGATGCCTAATTCAGGGAATTGAAGGCCTCCTGTCTTTTCTTACATGGCTATGTGCTTTGCTGGTGTTTGTCAGACTTAGTAATCACCCTGTCTCAAATAGATTTGAAGAGTCAAATGAGAATGCTCAGACATGCAGCATTACTTAAGAGAGGAAAAAACAAAAGTTGTTGATCCAAAACATTTGTCATTTAGCTTAATTTTGTTTTGCTTTTGCCAGCAAGTTAAGAGCTAACTAATAAAACTCCAATGATGATTTCTTCTATTAAAACAGCATTGTCTGTTTTAAGTAATAAAATGAATCATAGATTATCTCAAGTTGGAAGGAATGCATAAGGATCATAGAGTTCAACTCCCTGCTCCTCACAGGACTACCTGAAACTAAACCACATAACTAAGAGCATCATCCAGATGCTCCTTGACCTCTGATGGGACTGGTGCCATGACCAAGACATGCTCTAGGAAAGCCTCTCCCACTGACCAGCCAGCCTCCCAGTGAAGAGCCTTTCCCTGATGTCTGATCTGAACTTCCTCTGATGCAACATCATTCTATTTCCTCATCTTCTGATGCTGTCACTGGGGAGATATCAGCACCTCCCCCTCAAGGAAGGTGTAGGCTGCAATGGGATCACAGCAATGCAAAGCATTATGATCCCATTTTACCCTGCTAATAGAGAATGAAGATAAAAGTATCCTGAAATGTACTGACACAACTGCATATTTACAATTACATTTGTGATTTTAAAATAGCTTATCAATTATTAATCTGATAAAACATAGTGTTACTTTCTTTATAGATCAAACAGAACAGCAACTTGTCATTGTTAAATAATTAAGGGATAAATCCACATGGTATCACAAAACTGACTTTGAGAAATTTCCCTATACATCAGGAATACTCCATTTGTCCATAGAAAAGTCTCGTGCAACTCTTTTAGCTCATCACAGTGAATGTGGCAGGATCCAAGAATCAGCTTGAAACCATGTCAGAAAAAAAAGAAAATAGAAAACAAATTTTCAAAGGACTCAGAGAATTTGGAATCTGAGTCCCCGTATAAATAATTTTTGCTATTATTTTAATATAATTTTAAGACTTAGGAGCAGAGATTTCTCTTTCCCTGACTTCTTTCACTTTAACTCTTTTAATGTATTTATGAGATATTGAAATTTTATGTGCATGTTAAATAAGGAGTTTCCCATTAAGATCAAGACCTAACTACTGAAGCGTAATGTCTTAAATGTGTATCATCACCTTATGAGGGAACACGAACAACATGAATTGTAAAATCTGACTACTCTTGTGCAAGTCATAATTATCAGGAATGCAAGATTGGCAAGAGGCTATTTCTGCTGAGCTTCTAATACAGAACACCTCATCTGAGAAAGAAGTGCAGTGAAACCAATAAAACTCACCTCTTGAAGATAAAAGTATCAGGGACTGAAAAAAATTGCTCACAATGCTCAAGATGGGTGTAAAATGGAAATAATCACCTTGGACACTGACTCTCTATCTCATCAGACAGTTTCAGCCACACTCTTTTACTTTGACAAATCATACACTGTTTCATTCATGCCACAAACTAATTTTTTCCTCTCTAATAAAGCCACTGACATTTAATTCACTGTTTATAAACTATGAATCACAATAGCAAAAGGATTTGTATCAGCATCCAAGTAAATCAGTAATTAGTTACACTAATATTCACTATATAAACGTATTTTTATCTACAAGCATAACAAATACATTAATCACTAAATCAACTGACTTTAACAATGTGAAATTGCTTTGTTAAATTGTGCATTAATGAAATGTGTCTTAGCTATCTCACTAAATCATATACACAAAAAAACAGCTAAGTGAAAATGGAAACTAAACCAAAATTATAATCTCATTTAAACTTAGGTTTATGGATGGCCATGTAAATATCTTCACATAACATTAATCTTTTCTTTATTTACATTGTCTGCTGATTTTATGTAAATATTGCAAAAAATATTCCCTGAGTTTAGAGCAACCTTAGATTTTTAAACTACTGTCTGAGTGGCATTGGTTCTCCAAGCTGCCAGCAGTAACTAAATCCCTAATGCTAATTTTTTTTTTTTTTTTTCACTTAATGGGTTCAGAATTATACCTGTGTAGAGAACTGGATAAATAAAATGTTTGAAATTATGTACTTCTTTCTTCCTGAAGACTCTCTTTGTCAAAGACGTTCAAACTTGTCAGTATTTTGTAAAGATGGTCAGACTATCAGTTAAGCCAATATCGTCCAACACATGTTCCAAACTGCTAGAAAAGACAAGAGATACTAAAGTAACACATGGCTTGGTTGCCATGTCTATTTTATTTGACATCCTGACTTCCAGCAATCAGGGCAGCTCAGCAAAGGGCAAAATAGTATGTAGTTGTTCTAAAGGTTGTTCTACAGCCAGATTTCTTCAGCTAAAAGTGCTTTATCCTCTGTCCTAACACGTTCTGAACCTGTATTCCCCCAGGGAAGCACCAATATTCATACAACCACAGTTCAGATATTGTACACCCGAAAGCTTTCAAATTATAATGAAAGTTAGGCAAATTACTTGAATACCCATCAGGAATGCTTAGAATGGCCAAAAATGCAGGTGCAAAATTACATGCTGTATGCAAAGAATGTATAAAAAACAGTCCTGCCTAAGGGAGATCTCTGTGTAGAGCCCTGTAATTAGGTTCTTGCCTAAAACCCCAAAATCTGGGATTCTAATACTGCATAGCTGAAAAACATTCTAGAGGACCTAACATAATTGGTGTAGATTATCTTCTTAGAACTGAGCTCTAAAATGGTATAGTAATTCCATATACTGTAAATGTATATACAGTAAATAATAGAACTAAGCTAGTCTACAGCCGACCTGGGCTTGGACCATCCATCAAGCTTCCCAATGAGAAAGGGGGATCTTCCAAAAACAGGCTCACTTTTAAATTGTTTTCAGTGTCTTCTCTATCATCTCTCTCTCATTGTAATACACAAAACTTATTACATGACTGTAGAAAAACTGAAGAATTTCTTAAAAGAAATCCTGAGAGGAGCACTGCACAGAGGTGTTAGAGCATTCTCACCAAGCAGAGGTTTAAGTACTGAGTATGGTTCATTTAGAACAGAGCATGTAAAGATGTGAAATATTTGCTCAGCTTAATTTAAAACGACTTTCATAACAGAGAAAACAACACACAATATTATAGTCATTTCTCTATTCTGCAATTATAAACTACTTTTCTTTTTCCTCAGGGAACTTTACCCTTCTGAAATAGGGAAATACTGCAGCAAGTACCCTTCCTTTAATTATCAGCATTCCCCCCCCCCCACCCCAGCCACTTTTCAAGCGTATTGCACGATGTTTTGGTAAGCAAAAAGAAGGAAAGCAGAGAACAATAATTTTCCACCTTAACATGTATCATGCTTGATCTCCTTTTTAAATCTCACTGTCATTACCAGAATTTCTCAGATGAAAAATTCAGAGAATTTTGGTATGGTTTGAAAACAATTTATTTATGCTAATGAATTCTCAAACATTCATTAAACAGTTCAGATCAATAACATCAGAATAATATATAAACCATAATGGTGGATGTGGTTTTCTTAAGCATGCAGGCTAATTGCTTAATTTTCAACAGTTGCTTGCCTTCCAGAAGCTCCAGCTGAATTTAAATGAACCTGAGAAAGAAGGATTTAGCATTTCAGAAAGCATTTTCCATGACGTTTCACAAATGAGGGGGGGATGAGAGTGTGAGAGGATGTACCAAACTGACAACAATTAGCCTGGCACATTAATTAATGCATTCCATTTCACAAGAGACTATTAGGGCAAAGGGAGATTATGATCACAAGTTTAGGGATTTCAGGAAAATTTTCAACATGACAGAGATAAAATAGGACAGTGTTGAATCAGAAAAACATGAAAGAACTTTCAAATAATTTGGCCTAAATCTTCCGAGGGAGTCTAAAAGAAGAAAAAAAATCCGTGCAGTTTTAGCTTTGACTCTTATAAAAAGGGGTACCAAAATCCTTGCCTGTAGGTCACAGGAAAATAAAGGGGTTTATACTAATCATATAAAACTGAATTTCTATTTTTATATGTCAAACTGACTCACCAATTTCACTGGAGCTCCTTTTCTTATATTTTACAAAAAGAAACTTCACAAAGTAAGATTTCATATTACTGGGTAATAAAATTTCATTTGGTAATGAAAAATTTTGCTGTAACTCCAGAGAAGTACACATTGAAAAACATCAGAGTTTCAGCTAGTTTAAACCATAAATTGCATATAAAATTAATTTTATTATATTTTTAGAAGTAGTTAATTCCTACTTACAGATTTTATCAATGTTTCTAAACACTTGAAATTAAGGAAAAAAACCCCTAAAATTATACATTCACCTTGGAGAAAAGGAGAAGAAACATAAGACATGGGCAACTGCATAAATTAAAATTATTTTTAGCAAAGACAGTGTGTAAACCATTAAATAATTTTCACCTTTTCAGAAAGCAAACATGGAACTCGACTCACTATGACTCAATACATAAGGAAATTTAAAATGTACATCTTTTCCAACACAATAAATTCTTG